CCCCGCCATGTCTCCCTATGTGTCCTAATCTCTTTTTATAGAGTCACCAGTCAGGTTGGGTTTGGACCCACCCTGACAACTCATTTAAACTTAATTACCTTTTAAAGGCCCTAACTCCAACTACAATCACATTCTGAGGTAGTGGAAGTTAGGACTTCAATGTACAAAATTCTTCGGAGGACACAATTCAGTCCATAAGAATTTGTAAGAAAGAATGGCCACTTCCCTGAAAGAAATGTCAGAGACTGTCAAAAGGCTTTTGGTGTGTCTCTGATTTTTTTTCTGTGTTTATTTCTCTGAATAAACACTGTTTGCTCATGCCTAGGTTGAATATCAACCCATCCAAGAAATAACTCTTCTTGGAAAACAAGGTTAGACATTTGTGAAAAGTATCATCTTGAAAAAATAAAATTTGTGATGTCCTTATTGACTCAACCAAATGGAAATATCTCACAGTCTAGCATAACAAGTTTTACTTGAAACAGAAATAAAAAGGAAGAACCACATTGTGTATTTAAAAGTATTTTTAAAAAATCATCATCGTACTGTTCTATAATCATATATAGATCCAATGAAAAACTTAGAAAGCCCCTAAGATAACATATTCACTCTGTAATTCTACTTGTGAAAGAAACGCTCAAGCTTGTGAAATGTAGTCACTTTTCTTGAATCTGGCAACATCCCTGATGAATTATGCAGTTCCATATGGTCTAGAAATAGATCTTATTACTTTCCTTATCTTTACAAAGTGAGGCCTATTTGGAAAAGGATAAATAACAGACAGTATGAGCAGTTTAATTTGTTCTTGTCTTTATACATATACTAGTCTTAATTTTTTTTCTATTATTTCATCAGACATCATAAGTCAATATGTTATTCATCTATTTCTAAAACTATATCATAATTCTTTGTAAAAGTGAATTAACCCAATGCCTTGCCAAAGATACCAAACTGTAATTTGAGGAAACACTAGCATTCAGAATGTTGTTTTGAATAGATCTTTTTATTACAAATACATAATGAATGTTAACCTTTCAGTGCTATTATGCCTTTAGTTTAAGAAGTATGCTTTTCAAAATTAAATGAAGAGAAGTTGGCTTGGTTAGGCTTATCCAGAAAGCTCTCACAACACATGTACTATTAAGTATGTGCTAGAGCGTGTGTGTGCATCATTCTGAGTTGTGCCTGCCCAGATGGCTGACCCAGTCATGAATTTGATTACCAAGATTCAGATTCTATCTGAAAGTAACTAGAGTCACTATGAGATTCTGTGATTAGATGAGTATTTGTGATCAGGAACATAGTCTTTGATAATTGTTATCATTAATTCTATCTTAGTATTAAATGGATACTATCTTAATCCTAATTATAATCAGCAATATCTTCTTTTTCAATATTCCTGCCATGCATATACTCACAGCTTTTGATGAGATATAAATCAGATAAGCAATCTTTAGTGGCACTTATGAAAATCTCTCTTTTATAACCCTTTTTCTTATTTCCATTTGCTCATGATATTATCTACTTCATGATCGTTTCCTTTTAAAAATTGAGAACAGAGTGTAGGCTTAAGAAAAGAGTGATGAATACAATCTGTTCCCTACATAAAGAATTTCAAAGTGCCCCCCCTCCTGCATAACCCAAAAATCTTGGTTAATTCTGAGAACTCTAGTATTGCTTCAAAGAAGAATTTTCTTTCTCACTCAAAATGAATGTCTTAAACCAATTCAACCCAGTGACAATTTGACTACATTGCTTTAAAACCACAAAACTGTGTAAGTCAGGGAACCACAAGCCAGATTTCCCCTGGGAGGCACAAGATAACTATCTCAGAATGTTCCAATAAAAGGGCTAGAAAAATGCAGCATCAACTATTCTCTTGAGCAAATAAATATAATGGGAGGGGTTACAGTCTTTCATATTACATACAGTAACATTTTTCCTACCACATATCATTTTTATATTTATTTGTATTAAATTACATACAGAAAACAGTACATGTCATAACTGTGCATCTCCATGACTGCTCACAAAGTGAACACAGCTGTATAACCATCCCTAGCATATCAAGAACAAGAATATGTCCAATACTCATATTCCTCTTGTGCCCTCTTCTGTCACTATCCCTCCTCCTGATGTTTAGCAGCAGAGAGTGGCTTTGTTTGCTTTGTAATATAAAGCAATTCATTCAATATGTGGGGTTTTTTTTGTGCGTCTGGCTGCATTCGTTTTGGTGTGGATTGCTGTAGAGTGTGCATTTACATTGTCCTCTAGAATTCCCTGGTATGAATGCACCATGATGCTGAAGATAGGCAGTTGCCAGTGTGTTGCCATCACCAACAAATAATGCCATGGTAAACATTCCAGTATGTTGCATCAGTTTATATCTAGGAGTGGAATTGCTGGAGTATGAGATATGCATTAGCAAACATCACCAGAATTTTTCCAAAGTGGTTCAAAGGGTCTTACCAATTACTATGTTCTCCAGCAGTGCCAGAACTTTTAGTTTTCTACAGCCTTGCTAACATTTTGTATAATTACTAGTACTATATATTTTTTCTTTTTGTTTATTGTTACTTCCTTGCTTAAGCCATATGGTAGTGTATGGTAGTATGGCACTGCGATTCTAATTTTCACTTCCTTGATGAATAAGAATCCAGTTTGGCTAATACCTCCTCATGTCCCCCTTCTCCCAGCCTCTGACAATCACCAGTCCATTCTCTGCTTCTATGAGTTCCACTACTTCAGATTCCTCATATGAGTAATATCATGTAGAATTTGTCTTTCTGTATTTGGCTTACTTCACTTAGCATAGTGTTCTACACTCATATGGTCACAAATAACAGGATTTCCTTTTCTTTTTAAAGCTGAATATTATTCCAGGGTCTGAATATACCACAATCTGATGGACATATATATGACACAGATTGTAGTGATGGTTTCCTGAATCTACATTGACATCCAAACTCATCAAGTTGTATACATTAAATTGTCCTTATGGTAAGTGATTTTGACCTCCCCTCCCCTTCCCCTTCCCCCATATTCCTCTTGTGCCCTCTTCTGTCACTATCCCTCCTCCTGATGTTTAGCAGCAGAGAGTGGCTTTGTTTGCTTTGTAATATAAAGCAATTCATTCAATATGTGGGGTTTTTTTTGTGCGTCTGGCTGCATTCGTTTTGGTGTGGATTGCTGTAGAGTGTGCATTTACATTGTCCTCTAGAATTCCCTGGTATGAATACACCATGATGCTGAAGATAGGCCGTTGCCAGTGTGTTGCCATCACCAACAAATAATGCCATGGTAAACATTCCAGTATGTTGCTTTAGTGCACATCTGTACGCATGTTCATCAGTTTATATCTAGGAGTGGAATTGCTGGAGTATGAGATATGCATTAGCAAACATCACCAGAATTTTTCCAAAGTGGTTCAAAGGGTCTTACCAATTACTATGTTCTCCAGCAGTGCCAGAACTTTTAGTTTTCTACAGCCTTGCTAACATTTTGTATAATTACTAGTACTATATATTTTTTCTTTTTGTTTATTGTTACTTCCTTGCTTAAGCCATATGGTAGTGCATGGTAGTATGGCACTGGGATTCTAATTTTCACTTCCTTGATGAATAAGAATATAGTTTGGCTAATACCTCCTCATGTCCCCCTTCTCCCAGCCTCTGACAATCACCAGTCCATTCTCTGCTTCTATGAGTTCCACTACTTCAGATTCCTCATATGAGTAATATCATGTAGAATTTGTCTTTCTGTATTTGGCTTACTTCACTTAGCATAGTGTTCTACACTCATATGGTCACAAATAACAGGATTTCCTTTTCTTTTTAAAGCTGAATATTATTCCAGGGTCTGAACCTGTACATGTGTGCTTGTGTTATTACCCTGGGCTCCTCTGGCTCGGCAGGGCCACAGCATTTTTCCCTTTGGTTCCCCCCTCCCCCACTGCCCCTGTGTTCCTTGCTAACTGGGTGCTTCCACCAGGAGCTGTGGTCCGAAGGGCAGGGATTCCCAGGAGGCGCCCTCCTGCTAGCACATCAGTCCTGATGGCCAGATCCTCCCTGAGGGACTGCACAGCGTGCCGGACGCCATCTCCGAGAGTGGGGTGCACCCCCTGCCCCTGGACAATGCATGGGTGGAGGCCACGTGGAAGAAGGCCCGGCTGAAGCAGGAGAAGCGGGACCCGGACCTGAAGCAAGGGCAACTCCCTCAAGGAGAGGATCAGGTGCCACTCAGGACAGGGACGAGGAGGGACGGCAGGGACGGCCCGGTCCACACCAGGTGGTGTCCACTCACGGCCAGGCCCACAGGCGCGGTCAGGACGATCTGGTGACCACTACCTCATCTGTGGGGACCTCAGCAATGCCCTCAAGTGTTCTTCCCCACCGGGACCACTGCAAGAGCGTCAAGCACGTCATCAGCAGGTGCCTCAACGTCATCATGGTGGGCGCACAGCCGACAGGTGAGGACAGCCATGCCCTGGGCCAGGAGGGGTACCCCAGTCTGAGCCTGTCCCCCGCCTGCCCGCCAGGCCAGCCTCTACTTGCAGAATTGGTCTCACGTGCTGAGCTACATCAGCAAGGCTGAGTCCACTGGTTTCAGGCTTGATCCCCAGTAGGGGGCATGCAGGAGGCAGCCAATCAATGATTCTTTCTCATCATTGATGTTTCTATCTCTCTCTCCTCCCTTCCTCTCTGAAATCATATATATAATGAACCATTGATACACATAACATGGACAAATCTATAGTTATGCTGAGTGAAACAAGCCAAAAATAAGAGTATGCTGAATGATTTCACTTATATAAAACTCTAGAAAACACAAACTAACCTTCTGTGAAAGAATGCAGATCAGAGTACTGCCTGAGGATGTCTGGGTGGCAGGGGTGATTGCAGAAAGGAGAATTACAGAGGGACATGAGAAAGCTATCGGTGTGATGGATATGTTCATTAAAAACAATGAAGACATATATTTGCAGATTTCTACCATTTCCCATTAATGTGGATAATACATTCATAGTAAATTAGCAATCTACTTATCAGGGGGTACATACTAATTAGTCCATTTTATAGCCAGGCATATGGTATGGCTAATGGTGATCCTAACCTGTCAGTGTGAATTGAATATGATTTGTAAGGGACTGTCTCTCTAGTTCCTTTCATTTGAAACAAATATAAAAATTAGTATTGTATAAGTGCCCTACAAAATAAATGCTTAAGGATTTGGGGGGCCTAATATTACTAGGCAAATGAAGATACTATTTTAGATCACTTTTAAGAAGCATTTTAAAAATAGGGCTTATAGCCCCATCAGTTATTAAAGCAAAATAAAAATTTTGTTACTTTTTGTATTTCTAATACATCAGTGACTTTATATTTCTACTAGAGGCCTGGTGCACAAAATCATGCACTCAGGAAGGTCCCTTGGCCTGGCCTGCACCCTCTTGCAATCTGGGAGCCCTCGGAGGATGTCTGACTGATGACTTAGGCCTGCTCCCCGCCACTGCTGCTGTGCTCGCCAGCCGTGAGCCTGGCTCAGGGCTCTTGCTGAGCAACACTCCTCCTGTGGGAGTGCACTAACCACCAGGGGGCGGCTCCTGCATTGAGCATCTGCTTCCTGGTGGTCAGTGTGCATCATAGTGGCCTGTCATTCCACTGTTCAGTCGATTTGTATATTAGCCTTCTATTATGTAGGACCGTGGTCGGCAATCTGCGGCTCGCAAGCCACATGCGGCTCTTTGGCCCCTTGAGTGTGGCTCTTCCTAAGCCTTAGGAGTACCCTAATTATGTTAATAACAATGTACCTACCTATATAGTTTAAGTTTAAAAAATTTGGCTCTCAAAAGAAATTTCAATCGTTGTATTGTTGATATTTGGCTCTGTTGACTAATGAGTTTGCCGACCACTGATATAGGATAGCTAGACATAGTTGCATTCTAATTTATGATGAAATAACTAACTCAAATGAAATAATCAAACTAAATTTTCCTTGTTTAATTCAATACATGTGAAAATCGAATGCATGCTGATTAGTATTAAATGTATTCTGGCTGAAAGTGTAATTTACCTCAAGTAAAATATATCTGTGCACCAAAAACTTTCTTTTTGTTTGTTTTTTTTTTAATATACTTTATTGATTTTTTACAGAGCGAAAATCAAATGCATGCCGATTAGTATTAAATGTATTCTGGATGAAAGTGTAATTTACCTCAAGTAAAATATATCTTTGCACCAAAAACATTCTTTTTTTTAAAATATATTTTATTGATTTTTTACAGAGAGGAAGGGAGAGGGATAGAGGGTTAGAAACATCGATGAGAGAGAAACATTGATCAGCTGCCTCCTGTACACCCCCTACTGGAGATGTGCCCTCAACCAAGGTACATGCCCTTGACTGGCATTGAACCTGGGACCCTTCAGTCTGCAGGCCAACACTCTATCCACTGAGCCAAACTGGTTAGGGCTCTTTTTGTTGATGAACTAGAATAGTTTCTATTTCTTTTCAAGCAATAAAAGAAAGCAAACTTAGAACACATGCTATTACTAGCATATATTTTGAAATGATAGGAGAATAAAATCCACAAGAGAAAATAAATGTATTTTTTGAAATTATATCTATACTAGTGGCCCAATGCACGAAATTTGTGCACATTATCAAACTTAGTACTCATGCTATTACTAGCATATATTTTTAAATGATAGGAGAATAAAATCCACAAGAAAAAATACATTTATTTTTTGAAATTATATCTATGCTAGAGGCCCGGTGCACAAAAATTTGTGCATTCAGGGGGGAGGGGGGGGTCCCTCAGCCCGGCCTGTGCCCTCTCGCAGTCTGGGACCCCTCTGGAGATAACGACCTGCTGGCTTAGGAAAGAGGAGACCCAGACCCGGCTAGCCCCACCCCCATTGAGTGAGACACAGACCCGGCCAGCCGCACCCCCATCAAGCCACTCTAGGCGGAGGATGCAGCCTCAGGTCCCCCGGCCTGGCACCAGGGCAAGGGGCATGGGCTGAGGTCCCCTGTTAAGCCCTGCCAGATGGGGGGCGTGGCCTGAGGTCTCTGTCAAGCCCTGCAAGGCAGGGGGCACAGCCTGAGGTCCCTCACCCCAGCCAGGCGCCATGCAGCCTCAGGTCCTTGCTGTTCGATTGTGACATTACGGTGTCCTGGCTAATTTGCATACTCCTCTATTATATAGATAGAAAATACTGTATTTAACACTGCTTAGCATTAAAGTTGATATTTTTCTGACTTCAAAAAAGACAAATTATTCACTGTGTGTTGGTGTTTTCTGCTATGCCACAATGGTATTAACCACTTTTCTATATTTTTCTTTCGATGCCAGTGATGGCGAACCTCTTGAGCTCGGCGTGTCAGCATTTTGAAAAACCCTAACTTAACTCTGGTGCCGTGTCACATATAGAAATTTTTTTATATTTGCAACCATAGTAAAACAAAGATTTATATTTTTGATATTTATTTTATATATTTAAATGCCATTTAACAAAGAAAAATCAACCAAAAAAATGAGTTCGCGTGTCACCTCTGACACGCATGTCATAGGTTCGCCATCACTGTTCTATGCCCTTCCTCATTCTCACACAATTACCAATTCCTCTTTTCAAAAGTAAAACCTATAGAAAAATATATTGGGAATGCAGGGCAAGTAGTTAAATAATTTGACTGGATATTCTAATGAAATATTGAAAATCATTTTTACCTACCCCCTAGTTCCACAAAAAGTTAAACGAACCCAAAAAGAAAAAAAAAAAAAAGAAAGCAAGCATGGAAACAAAAATGTTACTTATTTTTCAAATGCAAAAGAATCTTAAAATGGTTTGCTAAAAATTTAAATTTGAAATCACCCATACTCTGTGCAGTCTCTTTCCCCTAAAACTTTTCCAGACTATAAATTCTTTACAGAGCCTTGCTCTTTTTTTAGATGACTCTTCTTGTACTTGTATTTTTCATAGTAATATATTTGGTAGCAATTTCTTCAATCAGTAATCATAGGCAAGAGCTTTTAACTACTTATAGTAGTGTGTGAGGGCTCAGCCTCTTCCACATCCACCTCACTTGCCTGGAACAACTCATTTTAAAGAAATCAAAACTTTTGTATAAATAGCAAATATTTATAGTTTATGACTACTTGAATATTTTAAATTACCAGTCAAGTAATGTATTATAATTGTTATAATGGTTCTTTTCATGGGTTTTTCCACATTTAATAATTTATTCATGTTTTTTCACTTGTTTAGTATTCTATGCATCTGATTTTAGTTTTCTCCCCTGAAATTCTAAAATACACCAACAGATCTGTCAAACTTCTAGCTATATTTCTCAAAAAATTAAACATTTTAGAGAATGCATGACATCATTATATTTAAATTGCAGTTTTCTTTGTCTTCTTTTTTAAAAGGAACATATCCATTTAAAGTATATATTCATTTAAATGTGTATATATGTAAATAGTTTATATATATCCCACATTCAAAGGCTGTTAAATTGCATTGTTTACTCATATCTTCAGGAAAAAATCACTTCTACTGTCGTGGTAAACAACCTGCTTCCCTATTTATAATGGTCTGGCCCTCCCTCGAAATTATAGCTAATTTGTCTACAAATGTCAGGTGGTCATAATAATCTGGCCACTCAGTGTGTGTATGTGTGTGTGAAATTTTTAGAGAGAGAGGAAAGAAGGAGAGAGATATAAACATTTATGTGATTGAGAAATTTCAGTTGGCTGCCTCATGTATGCCAACTTCCTTGGATCAACTCCGCAATCATGCATGTGCCCTGACCAGGAATCTAACTGGAAACCTTTCGGTGCAAGGGACAATGCCCAACCAACTGAGCTGCACCTGCCAGGGCTGCTTAGTCTTTTAACTTAATATCTTAAACTAGAGGCCAGATGCACGAAAATTCATGCAAGAGTAGGCCTTCCTTTCCCTGGCTGCGGGCACCAGCTTCCCTCTGGCACCCGGGACCCGGGCTGCTTCCCTCCTCCACCTGCCCACAGGCACGGGGACCCAGGCTGGCTTCCCTTGGGCCCCAGCTTCGTCAGGAAGGATGTCCGGAATGACATACAGAAGATATCCAGTCTAATTAGCATATTATCCTTTTATTATTATAGCTATCTTTCCAAAGCATATGAGATCTAGGACTTTCTTTTTTTGTAAATTATTTTTTATTTTGATGTTCTTTCTTTTTCAGGAAGCAGCATGTTAATGAACATCTTATTACACACTTAATTATTTATATTATGTTTTTTATAGGATTGATTTTGCTAGAGAGAGAACTAGGTCAGAGAATGTGCATAATTAATAATTAATTGAACAGATTATATTTGAGAATCAACCATGTGCTAGCTAGTTTTAGTCACTATTGGAGGTACTACAAGGACACAGCAGAAGACATCATAGACATATTTGTTTTTTGATGAACCTATATTGTAGGTAGATATTTTTATGGGTCCCCTCAAAGTTAACAAATAGAACAAACTCACCAATACTATTACCATAATTACTGACAATATTTATATATATTTTTTTAATTTTGCAAGTCTTATGGGAAAAGAGAGAATCACCATTGCCAT